ACATGCCTTCAAATCTAACGGCGGCTTCTGTTGATGGAATCGGATTAGGAGTCGACAGAAACTTGATGTGTACGCGAAACGAACTGTTTGGGGCACTAATCAGGAGTTCGAGACACTAACCAACTGGAGGCTAACCATAAGACAATGCTTGAAGTCTTGAAATCCTACACCTGGGTTAACGTTCTGGGCCCCTGTCTCCATTTCATAAAGCATTTCTATGAAATAAAAGGTTTTTGTCGTAGACTTGTTGTTTTTCCATTGACTGTTTAGGATCGGCTCTACTAGTTTTTATCTCTTATTTTTCTTTAGGAGGTGCACTATCTGTTTGAAAGTACTCATGTTTTTTCTCGTAACTCTGGACTGACGTTCTTGTTCTTCGTTTCGACTGGTACGTTATCTGGTTAGTGTACTCTGGATTTATGTTCTCTGTGTTTTGCTTGACTGTGACTTGTGACCTTGTCACACAGGCTTAAATTTGTGTGAAATTGTTCTGGGTCCTTCCTTAATTAGTCCCGCGTTCCTGACTGCGCTTATCGTGTCTTCTCTGTGTCTGTCCTCACTGTCCCTTTGTCAGTCCTGTTAACCCTTGTTGTTGTGTCCCTTTGTTCTTGTCTGTCCTTTGGTGTCTCATCTCCTTTTTTTCTGGTCTGTTTTATATGTCCCTCCCTTTTTTACTTGTTCTTCTCTTGTCTTTTTTTTGTGTGAGTGACTGGTCTTGTGTGTTATGTATTTTTGGCACTGTCTTGGGGGGGGGGAGTTTCCGCTAAGATCTGAGGTTTTTATTAGGTTTGGTTTTCCCTAACTCCAAACTGCTTCCCTCTCAGGCCTTGTGCTGTTGGTTCCGTTTTGTGTCAGGTACCTTACCCAACATCTTACGCCTTGCCTGGTCCCCCGTTCGGTCTCAAGTAACTACCCTCAAAGTCCGCCTGTAGGATCTCGTTCGCGTACTGGTACCTACCTCGAGAGCCCGCCTAGCGGCCTCCGTTCCGGTCACGGTCCTACCTCGAGAGCCGCCTGCCGGCCCTTGTTCCGTCTTCAGGTTACTCCTCGAGAGCCCGCTAATCGGCCCCGTTCGTCATATTACCTCAGAGCCGCAACATGCCGGCCCCCGTTCCCGTCTCGACCACTTAGGAAAACCCCCCAGTCCGCCACAGAGTCGAAGGGGAAAAACACAAAACCATTGTACACAATTTAAACCAATCAATGTTGTGTCATTAACAAGGATAATCTGGTGTTTTTGAATTGAGTAGTGCAGATATCACTGTAAAATCAATCGACAGTAAGGAGAATACTTTTCTTACGGGTGTAAAATCCTCCGCAATGGGAATGGACACTCACATTGCCTTTAACTGCCGCCGACATGGACCGATGCGGTGCTTCCCTGAGCGTCAAATACCGCCGCCGATTGGAATACATTGCAATCAGTTGAAAGCTCTTTGCGTCCGTTTATGAAGCTGAAGGAGACTCGGTGCGTCACAACTGCACGCCACGGGACCCCTGACCAAGCGCCGCTATTGGACTATCAGGGAGTGAGACTGTGTTGCACAACAATTTTTCTCAGGGAGGCCTTAAAGGTCGCATGTCATGGCCATTTCTACTGATCATAATTCCATTATTGAGGTCTACTAGAATAGATTTAAATTGTGCAATTTTCCAAACTCACATTGGTTTCTCATACAGCATCTCTGTATAGTATGTGTATTCCTAAACGGCTTGTTGGAGCTCCTGCCCCCCCACTCCCTGTGAGCCCAGTGAGCTCACCCACTCTGTTCTGATGAGTCCACCACCGTTACAGCGGAACGTCAGTAATTATGTGTTACAATGGCGTTTGTTAGCAACCAGAAAATGACACCAGTAATGACAAACAGATGAGAATGCTGCGTGGGGTCAGGGTGCCGTGTTGGCGGGACGTTGCGCGGCTCGCTGCTGTGAGGTGTGGACACAGTGTGAGCTGGGTTCATTTCCTGGTTGCTGCGTGGGGTCTGCGAGACAGCGAGACATCGCGAATGGACGCGGGAAGGAGGAGATGCTGAGGGGGCTGCAGCACCCCCATCTGCAAGGCTCCACTAGCACCCGCACCCCCAAACGCGGCGCACCTACAGTGTAAGCGCGCCACAGTGTAAGCGCGCCACAGTGTAGCGCGCCACAGTTTCGCCGCTGCGAGGCTCCAGCACGCCCCCCCCAGTGCGTCACAGTTTCGCCTCTGAGAGAGTATGTGTGTGTGTGTGAGGAGCTCCACGGATTGACCAATTGGTCCAGGAAGAAAAAAATGGAAAAATAAAAATGTCCAACGAGGCGTTTTGGGGCAGCATAGACAGGTCTTTTCTGTGTTCGAGTTTTACTCGCTACAGGGTGTACTTTGAGGGTTTTTGACTTTGTAGACCGTTTACAAGCATAAAAACCTATATAACACACAAGGGGACTGGTAATAACCGGAAAAGCATAACATGGGACCTTTAAGGGATTTATTTTTTTATTCGGCACAAATGTCAACCAGGAGGATGAACTGATGAAATGATAGTGGTCAAAGGTCAAGGTAACTGAAACCTCACAAATCACATTTTGCAATAACTCAGGAAAGAGTTTTTATTTGTCTTCTTTTCTTTCATTAATTATTTTAAGTTATTTAGTTTTTTTCTAATGCGTGTTTAACGTGATGATATTTTGGACAGACTTGTATGTACACTGTAGCTTGTCCAGTTAGCAGAGGCATCAAATCAAGGGTTGGTACAATTTTTCTTTTTTTATTAATGCATTTTTGCAAATGCTTAATTAAGAAACAAACTTTTCAAACATTCAACATGCAAATGACAAGATAGCATTTATATTATCATAAAGATATAAAGATCTGTAAAAAAATACCGTTTTTCTTTTCTATTTCAAAATATTTTATTTTTATATTCAAGTAGGCTAATACAACAGGAATTGAATCCAGGACTTTGTAGGAAACAGTATGCACAGTTGTAATCTGATACTCAGCACTTCTCTCTGTGCCCCCGGTTATGTAAATCTCACTTTCACCATTTTCCCTCTCTCTCTCTCTCTATTACTCTATCCATCTCCATGTCACCCTCCCCTCTCCTTTCCTCTGCCCCATTCTTATATTTGATGGTGACACTTCTGCATAAAGGGCGGATGGATGACCTACACATCTCCACTACAAAGATGAGTTACCCTCCTCACCATTTCTCTCTTGTCCCGTTTTATGAAAGCTCATTCACATGCGCTGTTTGTCATCAATCGCCAAGTTAAAATCCGCAAATCTGTGACATGACATGGTGTGGACACTATAAACTTATAAAGCCAGTGCGGAAAATAATTATGTGAAAACAATAGTAGTATTGTGTTTATTATATTATAGAGTTTTAATGTTTACATTTAAAAAATATTTTTAAAAATCGAAAACATTTAAAAAGATAAGATTCCCAATTCTTGCAGGCATTGACTTTTCCCCACCCCCATTATTAAACTACTAAATAAGAGTTTAAAATGTGCCTCTGTTATCCATCCCCTAAAGCCCCTGTCACACTCACATTGTCCCAAAATTGACACCAGATGGACACACTAATATGGAATTGTGAATTTCGAACGAAGATGGCCCCGAACCACACACGAAGGCAACATTTACATTACATTTAAGACATACAACTGCAACGAAAGTAACAAAAACAATTATGTTAAAGTACTATGATACTGTACTGATATTTTCAGACTTTGTTCTTTACTGTCTCCGTCTTTATCTGTAGAAGATATTAAGTTTTCTCCGTCATGTAATAACAAGTTCCCGTCAACTCGCCTTCACAATAAAAGCATCTAAATAAAA